AAGCCCTGGCTGGGTTGATTTAGTTGGGATTGGTCCTGCCTAGAGCAGAGGGCTGGACTTGATGACCTTCTGAGGTCTCTTCCAGCTCTATGATTCTATGATTAATTTATTTAACCTATGCCTTAACCAATATTTCTACAGAAAATAAACTAGCCAACCCTAATAGATTGTAACATGATGATCTAGCCCATGAGTTCCCCAAATTGGAGGGCATGCCCCCCTGGGGGGGGAACGTGAAGAAATTCCAGTGGGGCCATGAGGCGACCCAGCCTCCCCTTGCATCAAGTTTTGCTGCCCTGTTCAAATCCTTTTTTCCTTTTTTTTTTCTGCTCAACAAGTTTTGCTGCTCTTTTTTGGGGGAGGGGGGGCGTGAGGGTTTTTCAAAAATCAGAAAGGGGGGCATGATGCCAAAAAGTTTGGGAACCACTGATCTAGCCAATTATATCCCACCACCTTTATTGGCTCACACCCAGCAAAATGAATTACACAGGAGACAGTGACAAACAATAGAGAGATGGGGAGTGGGCCCTGGCTGGACAGAAAGCACTCAGCCTGTTTCTAGGTTCTTACCTTTATCTGTAGGCCATAGATAACAGCCCCTGTGGTTGGTCTGGGCCTTATTTCAATGGGGTTGTTCTGGACTGGTTTGAAATGTACCAGAAGCCTTAGCTTCAGAACAAGGCCTCAGATTAACAGACCAGATATTGATTCTTTGTTCTTAGATTTTCAGGCTTTTACAGGGAGGCCTTACTATCTCTGTCCTAACACACACCACAACCCTAACACTGCTCCCAGAGCAAGCCCAGCCTTTCAGCTGGTTGCTTTAATTCCCCTGCGTACCTTGTGCCCGATAGGCAGGTGGGGAAAAATTTCATTAGCAGTCGTTTGGACTTTGCAGTTGTTTTATTAAAATTAATTTTGCAGACCTTGCGCAAGGGACCCTGATGTTAAGGAACCTCTCCAAGGACATGTCTGGGGTGTACGTCTGTACGGCAGCTAATATAGCTGGCAGCTCCAAGTGCAACATCACCCTGGAGGTGAATTCACGTGAGTATGCTCCTCGAGCAGTGAGCTCTGTTCTCCTGGAACCCGAGTGGGTAGCCTAGATCTGCCCTTAGTGTTGTATGTGCCCCAGGTCAATGTAAGGGAAAGTTTAGACCCCCCCAAGGGGAGGAACCTGGGAATAGCTGAGGGATTTCAGCCTGCTGTGAAGGGAAGCAAAGTGCTTGTGACCTGGGTGATGCTTCTGCAGACCTGGTGTGTGCAGACCATGCAGAAGCTTGTCACCAGGGATTATTAACGCTAGCTGCATGTCACCGCTAGCAGCACGTGGCCCCGCTGGCAGGAAAGGTCAAAAAGATCCTGCAGGAGATGAGGGAGGGGGATTATTGTGCCATGGGGTGGCCCCACTCCTGAATCAACAGGCTGGCCCCATAACTTCCCCTGCCCCGATTGCAAGACACATGGGGGAAGCCCAGCTTTGCCAGGGGGAAGCTGTCCATGCTGACCTTGGTGCTATGCTGCTCTGGCCCTAGTATGCCCCACTCTGAGCTCTCTCCCTGGTTCTCTCTAGCACTCAGTGCCGCCGTGATTGCCGGAGCTGTGGTTGGGTCTCTCATTGGCGTTGGCTTGATGATCTTGTTTGTGCTCCAAATGTTCATCTATCGCAACAAGAAGAAAGATGCGCAGGAGGAAATGGCCAACGAGATCAAGTGAGAGTCTAGCATTGCTGGGCAAAGCCTGCATGGCAAGTCCAAGCACCGCCTGGGCACCACACTGTGGGCTCAGACTTTCAGCTGGAAGGGAAGATGAGGGTTTGCAGCCAGAAAGGCACAACAGACACAAAGCCACCATTTGTGATCATAGGGCTGCCATCACTCAGGAGGTCCGTCCTATGCAGTGTGTGCAATAAAGCCCCAGCTCCCACAGTCATGTGAATATTGAGACTCTCAGCTTTCATGGCAAACCATTTCTAGTCCTCTGGGGTGAGGGGAGAAGCTTGAAAACCTGCCATCCAAAGGTTACAACAAAAGGCAATGTTTTTAAAACCCAGGTTGATTGATTTTAATCTCTCATAATTCAGTGCTCAGGGCTGCAGCGAGCTTCCAGGGCCGACTGCTGCTGGCAGTGCTGACTCTAAGGGTGTGTCTAGACTACAGAGTTTTGTCGACAAAAGTGGACTTTTGTCGACAAAACTATACCTGCGTCTACACTACCGCTGAGTTCTGTCGACATAACGTCGACAGAACTCAGCAGTTTTGTCGACGCTGGTAAACCTCATTTTACGAGGCATAACACCTTCTGTCGACAGAGTTTCTGTCAACAGAAGGTGTTATTGCCTGTAAACTGTCCTTTGCGTCTACACTACCATGTCGACAAAGCAGCTTGCTTTGTCGACAGAACTCAATGTAGTCTAGACGCTCTTTGTCGACAGAAGCCTGTAGTCTAGATGTACCCTAAGTGAAGGTTACTGACACTTTCTATTATCAGACTCTGTAACTGTTTAGTCTGAAATTTTCTAGTGCAGAGGGAGGGATGGCTCAGTGGTTTGAGCATTGGCTTGCTAAACCCAGCGGTGTGAGCTCAATCCTTGAGAGGCTCTGGGGCAAATCTGTCAAGGGTGGTACTCGGTCCTGCTATGAGGGCAGGGGACTAGATTCAATGACCTCTCAAGGTCCCTTCCAGTTCTATGAGATAGAAATATCTCCATATATTATTAAAGGTGTTTGCCTCAGACTGAATTTTGTTCCAACCAAAATGATTAAGCCATTTCTGAGAATGGGATGATGGGAAAACATGTAGTTTGAGCCATGTTGAAAAGCTCCAGGGGCCTTCATGCTTTAGCGCAGGGTCTTGACATTTGGAGGGGGGGGGTATCAAGGAAGGGCCTTTTGCTGTTCCTATGAAAATGTACCCAAATGGGATTGGCTGATGAGCCTTTGAGAAACCTCAGTTCACACATGCTGCATAAAGTTCTTAAGTTAGCAGCTAATATTGCTGAAGATTCTGCCTGCACTGAGCATGCTCCATCCCCTCACAGAGTCCACATGTCTCAGAGGGGTCGCCACGTCTGTCTGTAGGTGTACACACAAGGAATCCTGTGGCACCTTAGAGACTAACAAATCTCCTTGTTAGTGCCCATGTGTGCGCACGTTTAACTCGCAGGGTCCCACATGTACAGAGCAAGTGAGACTGTGGGCTTTCTCCATCCTGGAGTATAGGAAGAGGAGTAAGGTTTTCTTCGCACTTGCTCCTTCCTGCAGACAGCAGCCAGGCCTGTCTCCCCGGCGCTCTC